ATGCCCCAAGCGGCGACAGCTGACGTTCCGGGAAAGTCACGGATCATCCAGGAGGTGGAAGAGAATCCGGACCTGCGCAAGGGCGAGATCGCGCGGCGCTTCAACATCCCGCCGTCCACGCTGAGCACGATCCTGAAGAACAAGCGCGCCATCCTGGCGTCGGAGCGCAAGTACGGGGTGGCCTCCACCTGCCGCAAGACCAACAAGCTGTCTCCCTACGACAAGCTCGAGGGCTTGCTCATCGCCTGGTTTCAGCAGATCCGCGCCGCCGGCTGCCGGTCAAGGGCATCATCCTCAAGGAGAAGGCGCTGCGCATAGCCGAGGAGCTGGGCATGGACGACTTCACCGCCTCCAACGGCTGGCTGGACCGCTTCCGCCGACGCCACGGCGTGGTGTCCTGCAGCGGCGTGGCCCGCGCCCGCGCGCGAAACGCTGCCCCCGCACCCCGGCGGCGCCTGCCAGCCCGGCCGCGGTGCCCTCGAGGGCAGTGGCGGGAGCACTACTGGTTGGCGCGCTCGGGAGGAGCAGCCGCCGTCGGTGGCCGAGGGCTACGCCTCGCAGGACGTGTTCAGCGCCACCGAGACCAGTCTATGGTACGACTTTCTGCCCGACCAGGCCGCGGGGCTGTGCGGAGGCGACGGACGGCCGCGTCAAGCCACCCAGCGCCTGAGCGTCCTGCTGTGCGCCAATGCCGATGGCAGCGAGAAGCTGCCCCCGCTGGTGGCCGGCAAGTCGGCCAAGCCTCGCGCAGGCCAAGCCGGCCTGCCCTGCGGACTACACCGCCAACTCTAAGGGTGGTGTCACTACCCAGGCCCTGGCCAAGTACTTGAAGGCCCTGGACACCCGAATGGCTGCAGAGTCTCGCCGGTCCTACTGCTGGCCGGCCGCTTGGCTGCTCAGTCCTTGGACACCTCGGGCCTGCGCCATGTGCAGCTGGCCTTCTTCCCGCCGGGCACCGTGCATCCGCTGGAGAGGGAGTGGTCCAGCAGGTGAAGGGCCACTACCGCCAGGCCATGCTGCTCAAGGCCATGGCCGCGCTAGAGGGCCAGGATCGCTCAGGCCTGCAGCTGGGTCTCACGGAGGCCCTGCACTTTGTGGCTGCCGCCTGGCAGGCAGTGGAGCCTTCGGACATAGCCGCCTGCTTTCGTGAGGCTGGCTTTGGGGGTGGCCCTAATGCCGACCATCACCACTTCCCTCAAGAGCGAGGGAGAGGAAGAGGAAGAGGAGGAGGAGAAGAAGAGGAAGAGGAGGAGGAGGGTGAAGGAGAGGAAGAGGAGGAGGAAGGAGAGGAGGAGGAGGAGGAAGCAGGGAAGGAGAGGAATTGGGGGAGGAAGAGGAGGTAGAGGAGGAGGGTGATGTTGATGACAGTGATGAGAAGAGGAGGAAGATGAGGAAGCTCCTCTGAGGGCTGGAGGCTGAGGACTGGCCCAGGGAGTAGTGGAGGCCGGTGGCAGCTTCGGGGTATGGTACCCAGGAGGAGGCCCAGTGCCTACTCTGCATTTCCTGGAAGTGGGGAGGACTCTGATTCGGACAGTGAGGAAGAGGAGGACGATGAGGAAGAGGATGATGAAGATGAAGATGACGATGATGATGAGGAGGATGGTGATGAGGTGCCTGTACCCAGCTTTGGGGAGGCCATGGCTTACTTCGCCATGGTCAAAGGTACCTGACCTCCTTCCCATTGACGACCGCGTGCAGAGCCACATCCTCCACTTGGAACACGATCTGGTTCACGTGACCAGGAAGAACCATGCCAGGCAGCGGGAGTTCGGGGTCTTGGACATCAAAGCTGAGTCACTGGACCTAGCTGTGCCCCCAACCTAGATTGGCAGCACCACCCCAGGGCAGAGGACTCTCTGGGCACCAGCTGTGCATGGAGCCAGAGTGTGGAGCCCCAGATCCTTTAGTAATGCTTCCCCTGGCCCTGCAACAGGCCTGGTCACCTCGCTGGGCCGGGGGCTGAGTTCAGCCTCACTGCCTGCTTATTGCCTCTTTCTCAGAATCCTCTTTCCTCCCATTTGGCCCTGGGCTCAGGGGACCAGGTGGGGCGGGTGGGGAGCTGTCCGGTGCTACCACACCGTGCCCTCAGTGGACTAACCACAGCAGCAGCCAGGGGTGGGCCCTGGAGGTTCCCGGCCGGAGAGTGCCTCTCCCCTCTGCCACCAGGTCTTTGGTGCGGGGGGACCACAAAGCCATTCTGGGAAGGGCTCCAGAGGAAGGTCCAGCCTAGGCCCCCTGCAAGGCTGGCAGCCCCTACCCCCACCCCCGGGCCCCTCGAGAAGCACAGTTTAACTCACCACGGGCTCCTGAGCCTGCTTCTGCCTGCTTTCCACCTCCCCAGTCCCTTTCTCTGGCCCTGTCCATGTGACTTTGGCCCTTGGTTTCTCTCCAGATTGGAGGTTCCAAGAGGTCCCCCACCATGGGAGTGACAATGGGCGCTTCCCTTTTGTGGGCACTGCAGGCCCATGCCTCTCCTCCCTCTCTGGCAGGGTCCCATCCTGGGCAGAGGGGCTGGGGCTGGGCCCAGAGTCCAGCCATCCAGCTGCTCCTTTCCCAGTTTGATTTCAATAAATCTGTCCACTCCCCTTTTGTGGGGGTGAACATTTTAACAGCCAAGGGTGCATCCTTCATGGTCTGGGCTTGCGTCTGTCTTGGGGGACATATTTGTCCTGGCTTCCTTTGGTCCTTGCTTTGGTGGGACATGGAGGCAAGTGGAGAGGGTGGCCCTGACCCGAAGAGGGGCAGGAGGAGACCTCAAGCTTGGGATCACTTGGCTGGGGCAGGAGGGAGGGAGCCATCAGTCTCTGGGGGCAAATCAATATGCACATGGGGACTAGGCCTACAGAGGCTGGTTTGAAGGCCTTTGCAGGAGTGAAGTCAGGACAGAAAGGAGTGTTGGGGCAGCTTCTGGGGTCCAGATTGGAGTTTGGAGGGGCATATAGGGCACCTTTAGTTTACCTTTGGTGCCTTAAGAGAGAGCCCTTTAGGCCTTTCAGTGATTGGCATCTCCAAGCCTGGTGGCCACCTCTGGGCACAGTGGCAGGAGGAAGGTGAAATTGCTAGGAACAGATTGCAGCCCCAAGAGGCAGAGAATGAGTTGGTCACTCCCTGTGCAGTGCCTTCCAGGGGGGCCCCAGTACAAAGGTGAGGTCAGGTCCCTTTGCTGATCCTACCCTCTTTCCTTTCAGAGCCAGCCCCTCCCTACCCCTTCCTCACTGAGGCCCCAGCGGTTCCAACCAGGGAAGGGCCTGGGCTTAAGCAAGGCTGGCAGCTCTGGGCCCCAAACCGGTTTTCCCACCTCACTGAGGCTGGCACATCACTTCTGTGTTTCCTTCCCAGCCCCAGCCCGCCCTCACCACCAAGTTTCTCCTCCAACACTGGGAATGTTAATGGGGGAGTATCCAGTTCATCTCTTGTCCCTGGCATGCCCTGGTTATTGCCCCTTGTGGAAATCAACACCACTATATATGACTTTAAAACTAGAAATGGGTGTGACTTCTACTCTTGGCCTGCACTTCTGGCATTCAGGAATCCCCTCCAGGCCTTGAGGACTTTGAAGTGACAACAAAAAGTAGTTGGGATCCCCCTTGCCACCACCTTCCCACCCCAAATCCGAACCCTGGAGTTGGAGACCAGAAAGCTACAAGTAAGCCCCACCTGCTCTGGAGTGAGCAGGAGGGAGCATGGCCTGCTTGCCCAGGTGCTCCTGTTTAACCCAGCTCCCTCACCGCAGGTTCCAACAAGGCGAATTACTTCCATTTGTCTCCTGTGAAAAGAACACTTCTTGCTGGAACTGAGACTGTCTCATTAATGATAGTACCAGCTGATACTAATAGGGGCCCTGTTCTGTGCTAAATGCTTTAGATGCTCACAAAGCCCCTATAAGGTAGGTAAAGCCAAGAGAAACCAGGCAGAGGTCTGATCAGGTGCCCAAGGCCACGCGGTTAGTCAAGCTGTTTTCCCATCCTGACTAGAAGTACCTCTTCACTAAGGAGGGACCCATATTCCTAACCCTCCTAAGGGTAGTGCTGTTTTGGAATGAAACTGGGTACTGCAATGAATTTCTTTCTTTCTTTCTTTCTTTCTTTTTTTTTTTGAGATGGAGTCCCGCTCTGTCACCTAGGCTGGAGTGCAATAGCACGATCTCAGCTCACTGCAACCTTTGACTCCCGGGTTCAGGCGATTCTCTTGCCTCAGCCTCCTCAGTGGCTGGGATTACAGGCACCCGCCACCACACCTGGCTAACATTTTTGCATTTTTAGTAGAGACGGGGTTTTGCCATGTTGGCAAGGCTGGTCTCGAACTACTGAGCTCAGGTGATCTGCTCACCTCGGCCTCCCAAAGTGCTGGGATTACAGGCGTGAGCCACTGTGCCCTGCCTGAAATGAATTTCTAATCCATGGAAGAATAGCTAGCTCATTGATGGGAGATGAGGGGTTTGGGACAAATAAGTGAGAACCATCGTCATTTCACAAAGGAGGAAATGGAGTTAAGAAGTTAAATGACCTGCCCAAGGTACTGGCCTTGAACTCTGGTGTTCTCCCTGGGAGTCTGGGTTACCTATTAAATACCCCACTAGAACACTGCTGGGAAGGGCGAGTGGCGATGACCCCATGAGCATAGAGTTTTGGGAGGGACGAAGCAGGAAGCAGTTGTACCACGCAATCCAGTTGGGTGGCAGATTATCAACAGTGCACCCCAAATAAAGCTGACAAACACTGGAGTGCTCCCTTCGTTTGGGACTAAAGGGCTAAAGGGCAAGAAGGGGAATCCCTACCCTAGGTGTGCAGATGCAGGAATCTGAGGGTCTGATTGGCTTTGGCTGGTCCCAGAGTGGTGAGTGACTGGTCAGCAGGTGGCGTGGGCACAGAAGTGATGCTTTCTTGGGAAGAAGAAAAGGACAGCTAACCGCCTTTTCAAAGCTTGGGCCTGAGAGGAGGTAGCGGGGAGGGGATAAAACTACAACTCCCAGAAGTCTTTGCTCCAGGCGAGGCAGGGGATGGTTTCCATGGTTTCAGAAAACAATATGGCCGCTCCCAGCTGGGACGTGAGTCTCTGGATTAGGCAGGCAGAGGCAGTTACGGGCTTCTGCAGTGGCAAGAAAGGAAGCGCCTGAAGGGTCGTGAGGCTGGGGCTGGACCCAGCACCGCTGGGGCGGCCAGGCCTTGAGGACGCCAATGGCGAGCAGCGTGGACGAGGAGGCGCTGCACCAGCTGTACCTGTGGGTAGACAACATACCTCTGTCCCGGCCCAAGCGAAACCTCTCCCGGGACTTTAGTGATGGAGGTGTGTGCCCTGTGTGTCTGCATGTTCTGTCCTGTATGTTCGTGTGTGATGGGTCTCTGTGCAAACTCTTTGTGTTGCGTGTAGGGTGGGGAGGAATCTGTCTCCTGGGACTTCAGATTGTAGACGTGTGTGCTTGTTTTCTATTTGCATCTGTGTGTGAACGATGTGTGCCCATATATGTATGTCTACATGTTCTATCCTGCGTGCATGTGGGGGGATGTGCCTCTAACTCCCTCCAGGGACATTAGTGATTAAGATATGTGTCTGCATATTTATTTGTGCATTTCTGTATGTGCTCACTCATTGCTATGTGTTCTATATTTGACTTGTGGGAGTCTGAGTATGTGTGTGTTCACATGTGTGTGTTCATATGTGTGTTGACATGTTTAGTCCTGTATTTGTGGGGTTTGTGTGCTTGTGTTTCTTTGTGCTTGTGAAGGTGTTTGTGTTTCTAGGAATGTCTCCTGGGGTCTCCAGTGACACAAATACTTACCTGTCATCTCATGTCAAGTACTTCTGTGCATCTCTATATTGGGGAGGCTGTGTGCATATGTGGCTTTTTGTGCTTCTGTTTATGTGTGTTTTACATGTGTGCCTAGCATGTGTTTGTTCTATGTGTCTACACATTCTGCCCTATGTATCTATATGTAGAGAGATCTTATCACATGTGTCTCTGCTTATGTGACTCTTTTACTCTCCTGGAACTGTGGTGTTGGAGTGTGTGTGTGTGTATCATGCATCCATGTGAATTCCCTGGGCTCCTGAAAGCCTCTCTTGGAGACTTGTTCTCTCTCTCTCTCTCTCTCTTTTTTTTTCTTGTTGCCCAGGCTGGAGTGCAGTGGCATGATCTCAGCTCACTGCAACCTCCACCTTCTAAGTTCAAGCGATTCTTCTTGCCTCAGCCACCCAAGTAGCTGGGATTACATGCACCACCACACCCAGCTAATTATTGTATTTTTTTTTTTTTTTTTTTTTTTGAGACAGAGTCTTGCTCTGTCACCCAGGCTGGAGCGCAGTGGCCGGATCTCGGCTCACTGCAAGCTCCGCCTCCCGGGTTTACGCCATTCTCCTGCCTCAGCCTCCCGAGTAGCTGGGACTACAGGCGCCCGCCACCTCGCCCGGCTAGTTTTTTGTATTTTTTAGTAGAGACGGGGTTTCACTGTGTTAGCCAGGATGGTCTCGATCTCCTGACCTCGTGATCCGCCCATCTCGGCCTCCCAAAGTGCTGGGATTACAGGCTTGAGCCACCAAGCCCGGCCTAATTATTGTATTTTTAGTAGAGATGGGGTTTCACCATGTTGGCCAGGCTGTTCTCGAACTCCTGGCTTCGGGTGATACGCCTGCCTCAGCCTCCCAAAATGTTGGGATTATAGATGTGAGCCACTGGCTGGCTGACTCATTCTCTACTAGAGGACCAGGGACTCAGTATTCCCGTTCCTAAATTCATGGGGAAGGGATGCAGCTCCTCTGAGGTATGCTGGAGACTTAGTCTCCTCTACCTATGACTAATCTTAATGTTTTTGTCTCCCTCCTTATCCTTCCCCTTTCTGCATCTCCACCCCTCCATTGGGTTCCACTGCTCTGCCATGCCTGATTCTCCCACCCACCTTCTCTCCCCTCTTTCTTCCTTACCCATGCCCCCACCTTCCATATCTGCTCCCCTCTCCCTCAGTCCTAGTTGCAGAGGTCATCAAGTTTTACTTCCCCAAGATGGTGGAGATGCACAATTATGTCCCCGCCAACTCTCTCCAGCAGAAACTCAGCAACTGGGGTCATCTGAACAGGTAACAGAATACCTGGGTGCAGGAGTGGGAATCTCTAGTCCCCACTCTGGGTTCCCAGGAAGGACTACCCCAGCCCCATCATCTCCTATGGTCTTGGTTGCCCAGGCTGAGACTGTTTTGGTGGCAGGGTGGGGAGGGTCAACGCAGACAGAATTCGTCCGATTACAAAATGAAAAGACTATTCTATTCGGAAGGAGGCAAGGAACCTCGGTACACCCACACAAGGAAGCTCAGATGCAATGCCCTTCCACTCCCCCAGGGCTGTGCACTCAGAACTGCAACCACCATGCCCCCTTCCCTCTCCCCCGTCCCCTCGCTTCATTTCCCCAGGACCCAATCCGCTATCCCTGTGTCTACCCCTCAGGAAGGTGCTGAAGAGGCTGAACTTTTCAGTACCGGATGACGTGATGCGCAAGATCGCAGAGTGCGCCCCAGGTGTGGTGGAGCTGGTGCTTATACCGCTGAGGCAGCGCCTGGAGGAGAGGCAGAGGCGCAGGAAGCAGGGCACTGGCTCCTTACAGGTGCCACCCCGCTCGAGCTTCTCCCACTGCTCTGGGGGCTGGTGGGGGGCACTCCCGGACCACAGAAAGGCCAGCCTGGGTGATAAGTGTGGGGGAGGGGTGCTTGGCTAATAGAGTCTGGCCTGGGGGCCGGTGGAAGGGACATAGGGCTCCTTGGGGATGACTGAGCCTGGGCTCACAGCGGACCCCGGGGTTCTTTCAGGAGCTGGCTCCCCAGGATGGCAGTGGCTACATGGATGTGGGTAAGGTGGCCTTTTCCATTTCTTCCTCCCCAGTGGAGCTTTCCTTCTGTCCTTCTTCCTGTCGCTTGTGAGAGTGGAACTGGGGCCAGGGAAGCAGGAAAGTGAGACTCCAGCACAGTCATTCCTCCACTTGCCTTGTCTCAGGTTTATCCCAGAAGGCCCGAGGTGAAGGTGTCCTGGACCCCCAGGGAGAGGGTCAGCTCAGGTAAAGAAGCTGGGAGTTCCCGACTTCATCAGGCTGGTGATCTCTGCACACAGCTGGGGTTGGGGGGCAGGGTAGGCTGAGCTTGAGGCACGAAAGGGGCTAGAGGGGGAGAAGGGAAGGCCTGGTCGAGGGCACTGGAAGGGTGAGTGTAGGGCCCGAGGTCCAAGCCTCCGCTAAGCTGCTTCCCACCCCAGCGGGGTACGGCCGCCTCGGCCTCCGGCGTATAACCAGGCGTTGCAGGGCGACCCGAGCTTCGTCCTCCAGATCGCTGAAAAGGAGCAGGAGCTGTTGGCCTCGCAGGAGACCGTGCAGGTGAGGGGTCTAGGAAGGCTGCGGGTGGGGAGTCGTGGCTAGCAGAGGCCAGGTAGGAGGGAGCAGGCCGCCGGACTTGACCCTTGTGCGGCGCGGCTTAGGTCCTGCAGATGAAGGTAAGGCGCCTGGAGCACCTGCTCCAGCTCAAGAACGTGCGGATCGAAGACCTCTCCCGGCGGCTCCAGCAGGCAGAGCGGAAGCAGCGGTGAGCGGCTGCCCGGGCCGCGCGGGGACGCTCCGGTACCCGCCAGAGCCCCGACTCCGCGCCCGACCCGCCCACCGATGGACAGACCACTGGGAGGGCGGAGCCCGCTGCTCTCAGGAGCCTCTTGGGGCCCGAGTGCCCTCCTTCCTTGGGATGGGTGAGCGTGGGAGGAGGTGGGACAGGAACTCTGGGAGCGGAGGCCCGGGACTGAGCCGCCTCCTCCCACTCCATCCGGGTCAGGAGAATGGACCGCTTTCCAGAGCCCAGAAGCCACGTGCAGAGACCTAGCCTGCCCCCCAAAGCTGTGTCCAACACCTCGGGCCCGGCCTTACAGCCCCCCGCGCTGGGCCTTGGGGGGCGGTCCCCTGGCTCTGTCCACACCCCCAGAATCAGGTACCCGCGCAGCTCCGAGGACGGCTGCGTCTCCACCCGGGCTAGTTCCCCATGCCCTCAGCCATGGGGGAATCTGCCCTGGGTCGCTGAGGGGCTCCCCTGCCCCTCCTGGGAGCTTACCTGGGACCCACCTCGGCGATGGAGACCGCAGCAGCTGGAGAGGAAAGGGTGAGGAGTGGGATCGCCAGGAGAAGGGAGGACATCAACAATGTGCCTGTAGCAGTCGCCCCTCCCTCCTCCCACACGGAGTACTGAGGGGGAAGGTTTGAAGGATAAGGCTCAGGGCTGCCCCATTAAAGTTAGTGTTCTGTTCCATTTCCTGTGCCTGCCTTCTCTTTCTGCATTGATCTCTGAGGGGAGCGAGTTTCTGCTTCCCTTGTCCTCGATCTCCCCACCTCCGCCTTGAGTGAAAGAGCTTTCTGGACCCAGAGTGGGTCTCATCTTGTGGGTGGCTGGGTCCTGTGTGGCCACAGCTTGGTAGGTTGATGATATCACCAGGGGTCAGGTTATGGGCAGGATGACAGCCTAACTTTTTTTTTTTTTTTTTTTTTTTTTTTTTTTTTTTTTTTTTTTGCGACGGAATCTCGCTCTGTCACCCAGGCTGGAGTGCAGTGGCGAGATCTCAGCTCACTGCAAGCTCCGTCTCCCGGGTTCACGCCATTCTCCTGCCTCAGCCTCCTGAGTAGCTGGGACTACAGGTGCCCGCCACCACGCCTGACTAATTTTTTTTTTTTGTATTTTTAGTGGAGACAGGGTTTCACCATGTTAGTCAGGATGGCCTCGATCTCCTGACCTCGTGATCCACCCGCCTTGGCCTCCCAAAGTGTTGGGATTACAGGCGTGAGCCACCGCACCCCGCCACAGCCTAACTTCTAACCCTGGCCTTAGATTGACCCCCAAACCCACCCTCACAGTGTTCTCCAACCTTGTCCAAACCCAACCTCAAACCCAGGTTTCAGATTCTTCCCAAATGTTGCCACGCACTCACGGTCAACCCTATGTATGACCGCTAACCCAGCCCTCTGTAGGACTGTCCTCCCTGCTCCTGTACAACTCCAACCCTGCCCACAGATGATCCCAACTTCAATGGATTGAGGCCAAGCTTTACTCCTAACCCTGGCCCACACACTACAGCCATGGCGTGACCCTAACTTTAATGGTTTTCTGACTACCAGTAATGTGGAACATTTGTAAATCCTAAGATCCATCGGGGCGTGGTGGCTCAGGCCTTAATCCCAGCACTTTGGGAGGCCAAGGGGGTGGGTCACTTGAGGTCAGGAGTTCAAGACCAGCCTGGCCAACATGGTGAAAACTCATCTCTATTAAAAATACAAAAAATTAGCCAGGCGTGGTGACAGACACCTGTAATCCCAGCTACTTGGGAAGTTGAGGCAGGAGAATTGCTTGAAGCTGGGAGGCAGAGGTTTCAGTGAGCCAAGATCACACCACTGCACTCCAGCCTGGGCAACATAATGAGACTCTGTCTCAAACAAAACAAACATCCTGAGATCCAACAATTCTGTTCCTAGGCATATACTCAGCACATACCCAAGGGAAACCTAGCCTCTTGTGTCTGTGTTGTGGGAGACATGTAACAGCAACGTTCATAGCAACATCTTTTTTGTTTGTTTTTTCTTTTTTTTTTTTTTTGAGATGGAGTCTCGCTCTGTCGTCCAGGCTGGAGTGCAGTTGCACGATCTCGGCTCACTGCAACCTCCACCTCCTGAGTTCAAGCGATTCTCTTGCCTCAGCCTCCCAAGTAGCTGGGATTATAGGCACATGCCACCACATCTGGCTAATTTTTAATATTTTTGGTAGAGACAGGTTTTACCATGTTGGCCAGGCTGGCCTCAAATTCCTGACCTCAAATCATCCACCTGCCTTGGCCTCCCAAAGTGCTGGGATTACAGGCATGAGCCACCATATCTAGCCTATAGGAGCACTCTTTGTAATAGCAAAAGAATTGAAAAGAACCTATACAAGTTATCCTTACTATGTAGCAAATTACCACCAATTTAACAGCTTAGAACAACACATACTTATTATTATATCTCACATTTTCTGTGGGTCAAGAGTCCAGGCAAGGCTTGGCTGGGTCCTCTGCTTCAGTGTTTCTTTCCTACAAGGCTGGAAGCAAAGGGCCAACCAGAACTGCAGTTTCATCTGAAGGCACAACTGGGGAAGGATCTAGGCTTTCAGGCTTACTTGGTTGTTGACTCAATTCACTTCCTAGTGGGCTGTCAGACTAGAGGCTTTAGTGTTTTACTGGTTGTTGGCTGATGGCCACTGTCATTTCCTTGACACATGGCCATCTCTAGTATGGTAGCTTACTTCATCAAAGCCAGGAAGGGAGAGAGTTGATAATCTGCTACAACAAGGGAGTTATAGGCCTGGTGCTGTGGCAGAGGTGCACTTCTCAGAGACAGACTTAGCTATATCTGGATACCAGGAGCAGAGGCCTCAAAGAGGAAGAACCTTCAGGACCTGGCCCAGCCTCTGCCATGCAGGAGGCCAACAGGTGAGGTTGTGACACCAGTCATCAAACCTGTATTCTGGGCCCACAGTGCTACTGCTAAGGCAGAACTATTAGCCTGCCCTGTCTCCTGGTCCTTGGGCCACTCTATCAGCCATTCCTACTAGCTTTACATATAGCAGCCTACAGGTGAGGTTACATGGATAAAAGTTTCAGAAAATAGAACTCTGGGGGCACATTGCAGACTATGGAGAGATCATGGTGCTAGAGCAAGGGTCAGTGTGTGTGAAGGGCTAATGGTTAGTTCAGGGCAAGTGGAGGGTCAGGTGGAGCCAGTGTTAACCTAAGACCAGGTGGAGCGCGTGGATGGGGCTCAGAACAGGGTCAGGAGTAGTCAGCAATTTTTATTTCATTTATTATTGAATATTTTAAATATTGCTGAATGGGACTAAATATAATCCTTTGTTCATGACACTCTCTCCCATTTGTCCATAATCAACTCACTTATGAACACCTATAAACCCACCTCCTGCCCCAAGAATGGAATTATTACAAATAACTTACACCTGCCATGTGCTTCTTGCATCTCCCCCTTGCTTCCACTCAGATATAACCACCATCCTAGATTTCATCCTTCCATTGCTTTTTCCTCCTTGTGGTAGACAGCTCCTAACGTGGCTCCCAGTAATCCCTGACTCCTGGTCGTCACCCCCATGTGTATCCTTTCCTTGAATATAGGCTGGACTTAATGACTTGCTTCTGATAAGTAGAATACAGCAAATGTGATAGGATGTCAACTTTTGTGATTACATTAGATAAGATAATAACTCCCTTATTTTTAAATTTTTAAAAATTTTTTCTTTCTTTTTTTTTTTTTTTTTTTGAGACAGAGTATTGCTTTGTCACTCAGGCTGGAGTGCAGTGGTGCGATCTCGGCTCACTGCACCCTCCAGCTCCCTGGTTCAAGTGATTCTCCTGTCTCAGCCTCTCCAGTAGCTGGGATTACAGGCATGTGCCACCACGCCTGGCTAATTTTTGTATTTTAGTAGAGACGGGGTTCCACCATATTGGTCAAGCTGGTCTCAAACTCCTGACCTCAGGTGATCCACCAGCCTCAGCCTCCCAAAGTGCTGGGATTACAGCCGTGAGCCGCCGGTGGCGCCCAGCCATAACACCCTTCTTTTTAGAGACAGGGTTTTACTCTGTTGCCCAGGCTGGAGTGCAGTGGCACAATCTTGGCTAACTGCAACCCTGGCCTCCCAGGTTCAACCAATCTTCCCACCTCAGCCTCCTGAACAGGTGGGAAGACAGGTGTATACCACCATGTCCAACTAATTTTTTTTTTTTTTTTAATGAGACGGAGTCTCGCTCTGTCGTCCAGGCTGGAGTGCAGTGGCATGATCTCGGCTCACTGCAACATCCGCTTCCCAGGTTCAAGCGATTCTCCTGCCTCAGCCTTCTGAGTAGCTGGAATTACAGGCACCTGCCACTATGCCCAACTAATTTTTGTATTTTCAGCAGAGATGGTGTTTCACCATGTTGATCTAGCTGGTCTCGAACTTCTAACCTCAGGTGATCCACCCACCTCGGCCTCCCAAAGTGCTGGGATTACAGGTGTAAGCCACTGCACCTGGTCTTTTTTTTTTTTTTTTTTTTTTTTTTTTTTTTTTTTTGTAGAGACAGGATCTCGCTTTGTTACCCAGGCTGGTCTCCAACTCCTATGTTCAAGTGAGCCTCCTGCCTCGGCCTCCCAAAGTGCTGGGGATTACAGTGCTTGGCCCCTCTCCTCTCTCTAACTGACACTAAATCCGCTATCTTCTGGTTCATTCATTTGTTCTTTCCTCTAATATTTATTGAGTACCTACTACGTACTAAATACCAGGAATACAAAAGTGAGTATAAAATATGATTTGTTCCCTCCAGTGTTCACAACCCTACAGGAGAGGAAGGCATGCAAGGTTATTTAAACTTTGTTACTTAATGTTTTCAATAGATAAAACATATATATGATTTTTAAAAAACACATAAAAAGTGAAAAATTTTCTTGTTCCCAGCACATCTCTAATAGGGAACGTCTATCTTTAGTTTTTATGTATCCTTCCAGAATGACTTTATGTGACTATAAACAAACATGCACATTTGTCGTACTCTTATTTTTGAGACAGAGTCTTGCTCTGTCACCCAGGCTGGAGTGTAGTGGCACAATTTCAGTTCACTGCACCCTCCACCTCCTGGGTTCAAGTGATTCTTGTGCCTAGGCCTCCTGAGTAGCTGGGACTACAGGCACAACCCACCATGCCTGGCTAATTTTTATATATTTAGTAGAGATGGGGTTTCGCCATGTTGACCTGAGCACCTGAGCTCAAATGAACCGCCCGCCTTGGCCTCCCAAAGTGCTGGGCAAACAGGCGTAAACCACTGCACCTGGCTAAGGTTAACTTTATTTATTTATTTATTTATTTATTTTTTGAGACAGAGTCTCGCTCTGTTGCCTAGGCTGTAGTGCAGTGGCACAATCTCAGCTCACTGCAAGCTCTGCCTCCTGGGTTCACGCCATTCTCCTGCCTCAGCCTCCCGAGTAGCTGGAACTGCAGGTGCCCGCCACCACACCCGGCTAATTTTTGTATTTTTAGTAGAGACGGGGTTTCACCTTATTAGCCAGGATGGTCTCGATCTCCTGACTTTGTGATCCACCCACCTCAGCCTCCCAAAGTGCTGGGATTACAGATGTGAGCCATCGCGCCCGGCCTAAGGTTAACATTTAAATCAGCAGATGAGGCTGGGCATGGTGGCTCATGCCTGTAATCCAGCACTTTGGGAGGCCTAGGCGGGTGGATTGCCT